ACTAGCGACCCGCCCCGGCTTCGCACGGGTGCAATATGCATGTATTATACATACAAACCTTCCTTAAGAATCACTCTATCTATTAAAAAAAACCGCATCAAAATCCGTTGTGTAGTTTTAAAGATCTAAGCATACATACGGACATACAGCGAAAGCGACTTTGTTTTATACTATGTATTGATATTTTCGGCTTACTCACGTAACTGTTTAACGTGGACCTCGACTAGCTTACTCGTTTCCGCGACACGGCGGAATCCTACCCTTGAATATGAGCCTCTAGCATGGCTTAAAACTAGTCGAATTCTTCGTCAAAAAGTTTGAATCAACCGAAAACATAATAACTGATTTAGGATGTCTCACGAAAGTTTCAATATGAACGTGATTACTGGTATTTTTTTTATTATCTATTTTATTTTAGGGGCTTTTAACCAATAGGCTACGTCAGCCCCATCGTAGCCCAATCTTATCTATATAAAACATTTTAAATTAACTAAAAATTAATTAGAAATATCAAATACCAGCGGGTCATCACTATTGCAACATCCTTACAATAGATCGTGCTGCATTGCTTAAAGGTTCTGACATTACTGGTATTTCATTTATTGAATAGTATAGGGGGATGAATTGCATGTTTTTGAATTACATAACTGTAAGGAAATTCCATAACTTTACTATGTATTTTACTTTTATTAGTTTTGTATTTTACATTGAATTTTACATTTTGATATTATTATTTTTGACATTTAATTTTAATTTATGCCATTATTAAATAACTAATGTTCTTCAAAGCGGATATTTTGTGGTTTACATTATTTTATTCATTTGATTTAAAGAGTCGTCAATGTTCAATGAAATTGCAAATTCTTAACGAGATAAATGGTCAAGATTATGTAATTGTAGTGATGTGTTTACTGTTGTTTATAAATCTGTGTCAAATCCTTGTTTTAATTAAGTATATTGCATGTATTGTACGCCCTTGAGGCAAAACATAGCAATCTCAACATATTACATAAGAACTTATAATGTACCTATGTTTTACAATGAATAAATGAATCTTGAATCTTGAATCTTGTACCGAAATCAAATACCAATCCATTTTAAGAGATTTTTTCAAAGACTAAGTTAAAATTTTAAAAGCATTCGTTGATCTAGCTTTTGCTAGTGCGACTGTTGAACCTTTTACTAATCGAACAATTGTCATTTAAAAAATGTCCTATATCACAGCCGAGATAAAATCTAACGCCCATTTCTAATTCTAGGACTCAAAAGTTATGTCATGGTGGGACTACGGGTATCAGATAACAGCGATGGCGAATCGGACAGTGATAGTGGACAATAATACGTGGAACAACACACACATATCGCGCGTGGGACAGGCCATGGCGTCTACTGAAGACAAAGCCTATGAAATAATGAGGGAACTCGATGTTGATTATGTACTTGTTATATTTGGAGGATTGGTCGGGTATTCGTCTGATGGTAAGTTTTTGTTAAATATACTAAAGAGCCAATTTTTTCAACGCCAGATTGCCATATAAATTTTATTAGAGGAAAAACTGAATATTTGACATTTTTTCCATACTAAAAACTGTCCAATGTTATAGTCTACAGTTAAGAATTATCTATTGATTTTCAGAGACTCAAAAGATAAATGCAAATAAATTATTGATTGAAAAATTTGCCCTAAGTTTTAACTATTTGAAGATTCCCATTTTTAAGTAAGACGATTTAAAGATAAGTATTCGAAAGCGACGAACGAGGACAAACTTTGAAAACAATCGTACATTAAAAATTCTGCCATAGAATAAGTCATAATCATAACACAGACATCGCATCATACAGCCTATAAGAGGCCAATGATAACGAAAGGCCTCTTCTCACACCATTCAGTTTGAGTGTTAATGCTCGCTCCATGTGGGTTGACAATTTCAAACTTATAATAGGTATGATGACAGGGTATGACAATTGAAAATCTATACTCGGAATTTTAATACGATTCCAGATTTGACAATGCCAGTGTTGCAATGACAAGTACTAAATAGTGACGTTACGAAATTATTCGATATTTATGGAAATGAAATATTTCCGGATCGTTTCTTCTCGCTTATAATTTTACTTTCGTAAACTAAGTACATCAGGAAATTAAATATTTCTGAACCGATAACTTAGTTTTAACGATTAATTAACGATCTGAGACTTTTCTTTTATAATTGTGTGTGAAATAAATAAAAAAATGTAATCATGAAGGAACACGACAAATAAAACAGATAGATATATTATGGTAATAATTTATTTTATAAATTGTCGCCGTCTTCGCTATCGCTATCACTGTCATTTTCTGTAACATTTATTATAAATGTGTCTGTGATATTGTCAATTAACATATCTAGCCTATCTGATTGTTTATCGATTTTTGTGTTCATCACTAGACTATTATATGTGGTATCATTATTTAACAAAATGACAGTAGCTATTGTCAAATCTGGAATCGAATTAAAATTCTGACTATAATTAGTCTAATGAAAAAATACTAGACACGTATTTTTTTATTTTTTCGTATAAGGTTAGAATACTTAGATAAAACGAATCAAAGATTAGGAGTCGGGAGTAGCTACGTTATTTTTAATATAATTTATAAATCGTACACAAAAGTGACGTCATGCGATATTTCAAACCATTATACCGTCGAAAGTATTAGTAAAAAATACGTGCCTAATGTTTTTAAATAATTTACCAGACTGGCATCTACTATATAAAAATGAGTCGGTGTTTTCCTTCCTGACGCTATAACTCCAGAACGCACTAACCGATTTCCACGGTTTTGCATTCGTTAGAAAGATCTCGGGCTCCGTGAGGTTTATAGAAAAAAAATAACATTCTTCATCTTTTAATCACCAAACGAAACGTTACATAAAACGAAGCCATCTGAGGCCTTAGTACGAGTTTGATTGCCGAACGCGTACCTGTTTCGAATACTTTAAACGTAAAACAAACTCGTACTAAGGCCTCTGGTGGCGAAACGGAGTTCGCCGGGTTTGCTAGTTAAAATATAAATTAGTCTACTAGTCTACCCTATTAAGTCAAAACACATTGTTATTAAAATAGTTTTGTTTAATATAACCAATATTCACAGACATCAACAAGTTCCTGTGGATGGTCCGTATCGGTGGCAGCACGGACCGTGGTGCGCATATCCGCGAGGCAGACTACTACACTCCCTCCGGAGAGTTCAGAGTGGATGCCGACGGATCACAAACTCTACTCAACTGCCTCATGTACAAGATGAGCTACTACAAGTTCGGGCTAGTTTATACTGAAGGAGGTATGTTGTCTATTTATTGAGTACTTTTTTCTTTAATTATTATGTTTATAGGTTACTGGCATAAGTGTCAAACGAGGTAACTCAATAACTTTAAAGAAAAACTAGGGACTCAGTCATGAGTAATGTTTTTAGTTTATTAGAAAACTACTTATAATTTCATGACTCTATTCAATCAAAAATAATTAAAAACGAGTGCGTTATCCAGGCCAGATGTTGTAGAAAATGGTCATTTGAATCTTATAGATAATTAGTTGTGCAGCTTCTGTAATTGTTGCGCACATTTTTAATTTTTTTGCTTTTATAGTTTTTTTTTTAATTATTCCACAAAAACATTTCCTGCTGGGGTAACGTTACCCCAGCCAGACCTTTTTCTTTCTAATGGAAATATTTAAATAATTACTAGCTATAAAATTAGTTGTCTAGATAAAGTAATTGTTGTGCCTTATTTTGTATTTGTTCTTTCATTGGTTGCGAAGATATTCGTGATTTTGCTGGGGTAACGTTTTTGGTTTTGCTAGGTCTGTGATATGGTTCAGCGGATTCTTATCATATTTTTTACAGGGCTTCTTAGGAATTAGTTTAAATTTGTTCTGCAATAAAAAAACCAAAATAATACATAGCCTAAGTTATTTCATTAAACTGTCAAACACCAAGCGGTCACCGGTGACCGCAACCTTGTTCTATAATTGTGTCTATAATGACGGTACTCGACGAGTTAAATAGAAAAACACTTCAATTGGTCCCAGCGCTTTCAATAAGAGCTCTAAAGATTTAGTTTAAACGTTATTCTAAAGCTTGTAGCTGCCTTCAAATGTATATGAAGTTTCATTAGTATCGTGTAAGTATTTAACAAGTTATGATGATAGTGAGTTCTTCACGAGCACGGTCTTGATGCGCGCGGTGTTATTTGGCCACTGGATTGGATATATGACTGAATGTTATGTCAGTTATTAGTTTTTTAGTTTAATTGTATATTAGTAAAATTTCAGCTCAGTACATTGAATAATTAATGAGATAATACGATTAAAGTCATTGGGAAATGAATGACCGTGGTAACCCGACGAAAACAGCGAAAACTCAGAACATTATACTATCTTTTGAAATGTTTAGTATAAACACCTTACGATTTCGGTATAGACGCGTACACTACTATGACACCATTATTATTATCTTCCAGTTGCACAAACTTAAACTAATACCTACGAAGCCATGTACAAAATATGATAAGAATCCGCTTAACCACTTCAAAGATCTAGCAAAACCAAAAACGTTAATCCAATCCCCAGCAATCTCGAATAACTTCGCAACCGATGAAATAACAAATACAAAATAAGGCACAAAATTTACTTCATCTAGACAACTAATTTTATAGCTAATAATAATTTAAATATTTTATTTTATACCCATTAGAAGAAAAAGGTCTGGCTGGGGTAACGTTACCCCGGCAGGAAATGTTTTTGTGAAATAATTAAAAAACTATAAGCGCACCTTTAAAAATGTGCGCAACAATTACAGAAGCCGCTAAACTAATTATCTATAAGATTCAAATGATCATTTTGACATCTGGCCTGGGTAACGCACACATTAGAAACAGCGCTTTGATTGTTTAGAAGCCCTATTTGCATGTTATCATGTTATGTATCAAATAAATGCAATGACTTCAATGTTTAATATTCTATAAAAAGCAAATTAGAGAAAATTGTTTCATTTTCTCCCATTCAAAACCTTACTTCTTTTCCGTAGGTCGGCCGCCCGGTTTCGACCGCGTCCGTGGCGCTGAGATCGGCAACAAGGACTTTAACTTGGACGTACTAGAGGAAGCTTACACCACTGAACATTGGCTTGTTCGTATCTACAAAGTGAAACCGTTGCCCAACCGCGGCGTCTGAGCGTCACACCGCCCCGGTCGGTAAATACTTAACCAGTACATGTTGGTATAACTAATTACATTGCTTGAAGATTGTGGACCATTTGGAACAGAACGTAAACTTTGTAGCTAATGATACTTGTATGAAAAACGCTATTTACCTCTTAAACATATATGGAACCTTTGGAAGTATGATAAGTAAAAAAACGTTATTGAAATGCCTTCCATGTGTCTAAACTAAACGGCCCTCGTTCGAAGATAATATTATGTTTTTGTTCTTTTATTTTAAATAGGCTACAAAATAGCAAGACTTTTCCTATCGAACTATTCTTAGAAGTAACAACGAAGCAAACTGATGAACTAATAATAGAGGTAAACTCGAGACGTCATAAGTTTCTTTTAAAAGCAATGCAACTTAATATTCTAGTAGAAATTACTCTATAAATGTTTCAAATAGTCCACAATCAAGTAATATTTACCGGCCATCGCGCACGGAAGACACAAAACGAATGTTAAATAAGAAAAAGTGATAAAAATTGAATATATTTATATATCCTTTAAGACAATTTAATTCAATTGATACCAACGTGGTTGTTGCAGAATGTTGAGATTCTAACTAAACTAGTACTAAATGATCTTATACTGGTAATCACACGAAAATAGCACTTATTGCTACGTTATAAAATTGATGAAATCTGTTACCACTTACAGCGTACTCAATTTCATCAAGCAATTGCTTTTATTCTGTCTTCAAAGGAATTAGTCGTTGTCGCGACAGTCCAGTGAAGACGTAATTATCAATTCCTCATAATCCCGCTCATAATTCCGTGGCAAAAAGATTGTAAGCTCTCTCATTCTCAATTTAAACAGAGATGAAGTTGATAAATGTGTTTCAAAATTATACTTGTAATAAGGACAAAAAAGTACCTCATTCCTCAAAAATAGGGCTTATTCTCAACTAGCAGTGTTACACTGAACTGTCGCGTCGTGAGATCGCAGACATTAGAATTAGCAACGTTTTTATAATTTTTGTAATATACTAAGCACTGTGGGAATGGAAGTTTTGAAAGTTAAGTGTGCTAGACACGCTATTACCTGTTGAACGTGCAATCTTTAATGGATGTAATCACTTATAAAATATATAATAAGTTACTAATGATTGGGCCAAGATGTTGGAAATATGTTTTAAACCCCTATTTAAACAAAATTCTATGAAATTACCACCCTCTGTATCTTTTTGTACGTAAAATGGTGATGCATGAAAACAAAAATATAACTAAAATGTTGACATGAAGGGGTGAACTTAATATATTATAATTCTATTAAAGAATATTTGGGTTATTTAAATCTAATTCTATTAAAAACTAATTAAATTGCTATTACTAAATGAAACAATCTTTTTCGTATACATGCTGACTTCTGCAGTAACTCAAGTGTTTTTTATTAATTACTGTTTTAATTAGTAATAACAATAAGCCATAGATATAGAGAAACTTCATACTTCCTTATTTCCTATATTTAAGGCTGAAAATATGTATATAGACTTATTATATAATATGCGTGTCTATGTTCAAATAATACCATTTTATATTAGATAATTTGTTCAATTTCAAGTTTTCTAAATTTCCGAATTAAATTCTACATAAATACAATAGATTTGTTGAGGCATCTAATTTAAGTAAGCTGTAGTCACTGCTAGACTTCTTGATTAAAAGGCTAAGTGTCAAACTTACCCATAGATTCTAGAAAAAAAAACATCTATGTAGGTAGTCTATTGCGAAAGGATGGAACTCTGTGAATTATTTGAATTTAGTTCCTTGCATTATTAGCATAAAAATAACTTGTTTCGGACTTTCGCAATATATTATCAGAAACAAACAACGATTTTATCCAAGACATGTTTTATGAATGCAAAATTAGGCAATGCACGTTACGCTTTACATTTTTACATCTAGTTTGTATTTAAAAAATGTTAACAGGTTTTTAAAATGTATCAATAGTTTGCAAAACAGTAGATTTATTCTTAATTTGTCTAATGCCCGTTTTCAGCACACTTCCTTAAATTTTAAGGAACCCCTAAGCTAGGATAGGTCGCACTTAACGAAATTTTGATTTCACCTTTATGTGATACCTAAAGATAAAGGTAAGGGGTTCGTTAAGGTGCTCACTCACGCTAAGTATCTCTTAACTAAGAGATGGTTAAGGGTGTGGTTAGTGGGAATGGTCATTACTCTATTTTATTTGTATTATTAATGAACTATAAGAATGCGCACAAATATCATCCAACATGTTTTTGTAGTCAGTACTATCACTTGCCTGATCTAATTTGAATGAGTTATGGTAAAATAAGATGTTGTATAAATTCTTCTTTTTTATTTTTATTTTAATTAAAGTTTATTGATAAAATATTTGTTTGTTTTTTACTTCCCGTTCTGGTACCTAATCTGTGGGATTTGTGTGTTTCAAATGTTGATTTACATTATTTTTAAAGCTGTAATAGGCTCACCCCCTATTACATGGGACGCATAACATAAATAGTAAAAAATGTGTGTTACATTGTACAGTGGCATTAAGTGCTGTAATGTGCACCTCTGCCTACCCTTCAGGGGTAAAAGGCGTGATGTTATATGGCAATAACCGGTTTTTTGTGTGCGTTACCCAGGCCAGATGTTGTCGAAAATGGTCATTTGTATCTTATCAATACATAGTATAAAACAAAGTCGCTTTCGCTGTATGTCCGTATGTATGCTTAGATCTTTAAAACTACGCAACGGATTTTGATGCGGTTTTTTTTAATAGATAGAGTGATTCTTAAGGAAGGTTTGTATGTATAATACATGCATATTGCACCCGTGCGAAGCCGGGACGGGTCGCTAGTAGATAATATAATTAGTTGTGAGGCTTCTGTAATTGTTGCGTACATTTTTAAATTTGTTGCGCTTATATGCAGTTTTTTAATTGTTTCACAAAAACATTTTCTGCTGGGGTAACGTTATCCCAGCCAGACCTTTTTCTTTCTAATGGAAATATTTAAATAATTACTAGCTATAAAATTAGTTGTCTAGAATGTCTAGATGAAGTAAATGTTGTGCCTTATTTTGTATTTGTTTTTCATCGGTTGCGAAGTTATTCGAGATTTTGCTGGGGTAACGTTTTTGGTTTTACTTGATCTTTGAAACGGCTAAGTAGATTCTTATCATATTTTGTACTTCTTACTTGCAGAACAAATTCAAACTATGTAATTCCTAAGAAACCATGTACAAAATATGATAACAATCCGCTTAACCAATTCATTAGAATGAAAAAGGTCTAGCTGGGGTAACGTTACTCCAGCAGGAAACGTTTTTCTGAAATAATAAAATAAACTATAAGCGCAACAAATTAAAAATGTGCGCATCAATTACAGAAACCGCAAAACATAATTATCTACTTACAAGATTCAAGTGACCGTTGTCGACAACATCTGGCCTGGATAACGCACACCATTTTATCGAGGGATTTAAATGAATCCTCAGATGGAAATTCATTTATTGTTAAGTTTTACATCCATAATCATTCCTGTATACTGTTGGGGTCGGTGGGGACTATGGAACGGCAAATAACACAAGTCTTATATTAAGTTGGTCAATTACAAAATGGATCCATATTATGGAATCTAGCACAAGTATGCAAGAGGCAAGGTACTGCCTATCCAACATACCTGGTATACTATTAATAAGTGTGGGAGAGTCATGCTTCTGCACGAATGAGCCGGCTCTAGCAGAGTGAGACAGACACAGGCGTCACAGACGTGTAAGTGAGGTTACCGGAGGCCTAACTATCTCCCCATACCGCAATCCCTGATTCCCCAAAATTCCTTAAATTCCTAATCTCCAAAAGGCCAGTAACGCACTTGACAATACTAACTGTTGTAATAAATGTGATGTTACCTGTTCAACTAGCTTGTAAGGACCTACTCCACCTATAAATGTTTCTCTGAAAGCCCTGTGTAAAGATTTTTTTTTAAATGGCGCACACTGTTGTCTGAGCACTTCCGATGCACCCTCAGGAAGATCTGTAAATACAATCCATACTATGAACAAAGTCGTAAATAACACTGTAATGTAACTGTATACTGCCTCGTTGGCCGAGTGGTCGCAAGTGCGACTGCCGGGCATGGGTTCGATTCCCTGGTCGGGCAAAGTATAACTGGGTTTTAAAAAAAATCTCAGTAGTAGCACAGAGTCGTGTGCGTTACCCAGGCTAGATGTTGTCGAAAATGGACATTTGAATCTTATAGATAATTACTTAATTAGTTGTGCAGCTTCTGTAATTGTTACGCACATTTTTAAATTTGTTGCGCTTATAGTTTTTTAATTATTTCACAAACCACTTCCTGCTGGGGTAACGTTACCCCAGCCAGACATTTTTTCTTATGGGAATATTTAAATAATTACTAGCTATAAAATTAGTTGTCTAGATGAAGTAAATGTTGCGCCTTGTTTTGTATTTGTTATTTTTTCGGTTCAGAACTCAATATCATCATAGCTTGTTGAATACTTACAGGATACTAATGAAACTTTACAAACATTTGAAGGCAGTTACAAGCTTTTAAATAACGTTTGAGTGCTGGGACCAATTTAAGTGTTTTTCTATTTCATGAAATAACTTTCAAGCTATGTATTATTTTGGTTTTTTTATTGCAGAACAAATTTGAACTAATTAATAAGAAGCCATGTACCAAATATGATAAGAATCCGCTTAACCATTTCAAAGATCTAGCAAAATCCACAACGTTACCCCAGCAAAATCTCGAGTAACTTCGCAAACGATGAAAGAACAAATATAAAACATCTAGACAACTAATTTTATAGCTAGTAATTATTTAAATATTCCCATTAGAAAGAAAAAGGTCTAGCTGGGGTAACGTTACCCCAGCAGGAAATGTGTTTGTGAAATAATTAAAAAACTATAAGCGCAACAATTTTAAAAATGTGCGCAACAATTAAAATGCGCACAACTAATCTATACATATATAATTCAAAGGTGACTGACTGACTGATTGACTGACATAGTGATCTATCAACGCACAGCCCAAACCGCTGATAGATGTTATGACGTAGGTATCTGCTAAGAAAGGATTTTGATAATTTCCACCCCCAAGGGGGTAAAATAGGGGATGAAAGATTGTATGAAACTCTATCAGTTTTACACTGACCGGTTTGAAATTTGGCATGCAGATAGAAGTTATGACGTAGGCATCCGCTGTGAAAGGATTTTGATAATATCCACCCCCAATACTCAATAGGGGATGAAAGTTTTTATGAAACTTTGTCTGTTTTACACTGATTGGGTTGAATTTTGACATGCAGGTAGGTAGATGTTATGATGTAGACATCCGCTATGAAGAGATTTTGATCATTTCCACCCCCGATGGGATAAAATAGGGGATGAAAGTTTGTACGAAACTTTGTCAGTTTTGCAACGACCTGGGACTCTTGAAAGCAATCTCAATGTCAATGCAATTGCAATCCAATGAAAACTCAATAATTATTCAATGTCAAAACTATACAACCTCTGTTGTGGCTGTTAAAATAGCATTAAGGGCACGGAATATAAAACAAATTGAATACTACTATTATTATATTATTGAGGTATTTGTTAATTAAATACCCAAGAAATATGTATGCAATTGGCGCTAGTGTTGAAAGGGTAGGAAATTTCACAATATCAATGTCGATCAATCGGAATTGGATTCGAAAGTAAGCCCACAGGTTGAAATTCTATATGCAGGTCAATGTTTTGATGTAGGCATCCTATAAGATAGATTTTGATCATTTCCACTCCCCAAGGGCATCCTCTAAGAAAGAATTTTGATCATTTCCACTCCCCAACGGGATAAAATAGGGAATGAAAGTTTTATACGACACTTTGTCAGTTTTGCATCGACCAGGTTGAAATTCTGCTTGTAGGTAAATGATTTGATGAAGGCATCCCATAAGATAAGATTTTGAACAATTCTACCCCCAAGAAGACAAAATTGGGGATGAAAGTTTGTATGAAATTTTAAACTGACTGGGCTGCGACTTTGCATGCATAAAGCTTCTATGACGTAGGCATCTCTAAGAAAGGAATTTGATAAATTTATTCCACCCCCAATAGAATAAAATAGGACATGATAGTTTGTATAAAACTTCTTAGCGAATGAATCTAAAATAATTGAATCTTTTTGAGTTAGATTCGGTAAAACGATAATTTGAGACCTGAGAAACGATGTATGATAGTTTTTATCACTGAAGTCCCACGTGAATGGGAACTAAGTATGCGTTAAAGCCAGACTTAACCACTGATCTAAATTCGGTACAACGATACATAGTTTGACATCTAGGAAACGAAGTATCATAGTCTTTATTCCGAAAATCACATGGCAACGGGGATATGCGTTAAAATTCCGGCACTCTGTATCTTTTAAATCACTGAATCCATTTGATAGAATGGTTTTAATCACTGAAACCTCACGATGCGAGCTCTGTACGGGTTGAAACCTGATTGTTGGGATTGTTTATTTTTTGAAATCACGAAAATAAATTCATTTTACAATAAGTAGAACCTAAGTACTGAATGAAGTCTGACGACATTTTTTTGTTACCGTGGAATGTCCCTTGGTAAAGTCTAATTCAAAAGCCTAAATTCTGCCAGAAGTCATTCTGCGCGGACGAAGTCGCGGGCAACAGCTAGTTATCTATAAGATTTAAATGACCATTTTCGACAACATCTGGCCTGGGTTACGCACACCACAGAGTCTGGAAAAAAATATGCCCGGTTTATAGCAATTGGCTCACACCCTATTTATTACATGTGACTCATAACATAAATGAAAAGTGGGTGTGACATTGTACTGTGGCATTATGTGCCGTAATGTGCCTCTGCCCACCTCTTCGGGGATAAATGGCGTGATGTTATGTTATGCATGTTAATTGTAACTGTACACCTCTTTAATAACAAGTAACATAATTATAACATTATTTTTCTTACCAATTTCCTTGAATGCAAACTGTTTGGGCCTAATGTCATAGACCCTGTAGTCCAACATGAGCACTATGTCAAAAGGCTCGGCGTCCTCATTCATATCACTCTGTGCTACAAATGATATCTTCATGTGAGACCCGTCAAGTATCTTGAATAGTTCTCCTTATATGACTCATGACATAAATAGTGAAAAGGTGCCGTAGTGTGTACCTCTGCCTACCCCTTCGGGGATAAAAGGTGTGATGTTATATGGCAATAGCTGCTTTTTTACTTCTTGTAAATATGTAAGCAAAATATCAAATATATAAAATGATTACAAAGATAATTATTTTTTATTAACGATTTTTTGTCCGATCTCGTTCATTCCAAGCCATTTATGAGATAGGCAGGGTGGTAAT